CAAATTTTCAGCGTCTGATAATGAATTTACGATACTTTTCTTTACTATTTCGGCAAATCCAGATGTTGTATCGCAACCGGAAAAACAATGCAGAAATGTAACAATATTTTTGAGGAATGTATGTTTGAAACCATTAGACGTGGAAAATAGATCCTTCACATTTCCAAAACCTGGTTTGAGAAAATGAATGTCATGATTATTTGAATTTACCTGATTCAAATTGACCAAAAGATCAATATCTTTACCCACAAAAGTGACAGTTTTATAAGTATCTCTGGCAATTTCCATCGATGTCTTAATTATATCAGCATCAGCATCTTCTTCTACTTGTTTACAGAAAAACTCTTGTGACTGTAATCTTCTTCATTGAAGTTTTTATTATTTTGTCCTTGTTTTTCTCGTTAGATAAAAATGTTTCTTGCAAAAATAGTATTTTAGTATGATTTTGATAATCAAACTCTAGAATGTTGTCTGAGGTTTTTCTACGACTATCTTCTCATCTTTTAGTTGAAGTAGCTGCTGGTATTGCTGTGACAGTAACTAATTTTTTAATTTCAGGGTACCCATCAAAGACAATATAGCTGTTTGCTGCGTAATGTTTGTTAATTACAGTGGTATATTTCGATTTGCAATTTTTTCGCTTATCAATGTAACATGGAAAATTGTACATAATGATTGAAAAAAAAAATCTTAATTCGAGTTTTTTTCGATTTTTTGCATTTTCTGAGAACACTTTCATAGTAATGTATATTTTTCACATCAATAGAAAGTAGAAATTGCAAAGAATAGAAATCACACCGAGACTTTGAAAAAAGCTGATATTGTGATATTGTGCTTTTTGAGTATCAAGTCAAAAGAAGGTAAAAAAAATTAAACCAAATAAATCACAGTGTATTTGGAACATTAAAAGGTGAGTTTCCACCAAATTTTGTAGATTTTTTTTAAGATAAAAGTAAAAAACCAAAAACTAGGTTATTTGAGTTTTTCACATAAGTTTTGAGGATATGTGAAAAAATTGTATATAAATGACAGTTGTAGATCCTTTTATCGCCTACAACTTTGCTATTTAACTTTTTTCCATAGGACTTTCGGAAATTGAGATAAACCATTTTTTACCCTTAAAAACTCACCCCTTCCCACTTCCTGAACTCAGATAGCCCGTAATTTATTTTTCCTTCCATTTCCATCACAATGTCCTCCTTTCCTAATGGGTTTCATCTTACTATTATTTTTTTCACTTTTCACCATTTTTGAAGGCTTTTCAGCATCAGTCTATTAGGTTATGTGGAAGAAATGTTCGTTTTGGAAGAATAATGTTTATTATAATCTGTAATGTCTATCAATAGGTAATGGTTATATTTGAATTGACGTTAAATTTTATTGCTACTTCATCCCTCGAATCATCACAATTACTGATATACATTTACAAGACATGGTCTGTATAAAGGAATGGGAAATTTTCCATATGTCCAATGCAAAGCAGTTCACCATAATAATTTGAGGAACATAAATTTCCCAAGGATCCGTTTGAATTGTAAATTTTTCGAACGTACTCCGTTATGCAAAACAGAATATTCCCTGTCGCAGGAAGTGTGCAGGCTAGACGGAAGTTTGGCAAAAAGTATTTTCCGGTTTAAATCTTCATCATTTCATAGTCCAATGAATTGTGAGCGCTAATGCTCAAAGAAGCGAGTGGTAGAGAGAGATGCGGTAAAGTCAAAAGTAAATACATTTCGTTTCGAATCACCATGTTCGAGAACCAAATCGGTTTGATATGGCAGTTTGAATGCATGTTGTAGAAACTTTAGTTTTCCATAATGTTCAGAGAACAACCACGATTTCAATATGGACTACGACATATATACAGAAAATGATCGACCAAAATTCAACCTGGTGGAATCTCTGGAAATCAATAAATCCTTCCAGTTTGTTTCTGAAGTATACTTCTCTGCATGATCCACACATCTTTGTGCGATTTATTGCTTCCTTTCTTTCTCTGAAAGATTTCTAAATTTTGTTGTATAAAGATGGAGAATTAGAAAGTCAAAATATGTGCTGGAAGTATACCCCTTTCAATTTAAACAAGATTACTTCAGCTGGGATTCAATCAAATAAGTGAATGAATGTCATTACGTACTGTCATCGATGACATGAGTGGTTTAAACTGATTCGTGATATGAAGTCGTGATTTTATAAATAAATTGGGTGCTTTATTTCATAATGTTATCCAGATAAGATAAGGCAAGTGTCTTACGATGAAACATCGGATGTCGATAAGTAAGGATGATAGTGTATGGAACACTATCCTCCTTACTGTGAAAATTCAGCTCCTTTTTTTACCATTTGTGTAGCAATTCTGGAAATGGTATTTGATGATTCAATTCCATTCATCATATAAAATTATTCATTTCGAAAGTATTTTTCTGTCGTGAAATTCAACATTATTATGAAAGTTGCTGTTTCGGGAGAGCTTTTCTTTCAGTTTGTGTCTGAAAGTTACTTTTTCGCATGATCCATTCATCGTTGTACACATTGACTTTTTTAAATTCACTGCTTCCTTTCTGTCTTTGAAAGATTCACATATTTTTTGTATGAAGATGAAGTAGAAAACCAAAACCTTCCTTTTCCAAATAATATTTTATTGTAATTGTTTTTGCGAAATCCACCTATTTTGACAAAATTTATCATTTGTCTAAATGAGTTTCGATATAAAATGCTATTATTTCACCTGTTTTCTTAGAAGTAATATCGTATTATGATTTTTTATCAAAATTTGCCTGTCACCAGAATTAATCATCGATCTAATTGAGTTTATTGTTAATTGTAATTGGGATAATGTGAAATGATTTAATGTAACAGTTCAACTGACTGAGCTACCATGCAGCGAAAAGCGTGCTGAATGAAATTCATTGTAAATATTATATAATTAGGTATATGAATAGATAGTATGAATATTACTGCAGTTTTTTCCTAACACCAAACCGTTATTTCAACACCTCAACACGTGTTTCGAACACCAAGTGATCATCTTCAAGATGATCTTCCTTGAGAGGATATCCCTCTTGAAGATGATCACGTGGTGGTGGAAACACGTGTTGATGTGTTAACGTAACGAATTGATGTTGGGAAAAAACTCCAGAAATATTCATCACTACATCAAAGGTTCCAAACAGTGCATCACAAATAGATATTATAGCAATAGGATGATTTCAATTACGAAAATAAGCAGTGAACAAATACATTCTTTATCTTGAGAAATAATTGTCGAAACAATTTCAATTTCATATTCAGATGAAGAAGTTGGTACTATTATTAAAAGTAGAATAATTCATCAAATTTTCATCATATAGAGAATAACTGGAGTATTATCTTTCAGGGGCGGTATGTCCGCCATTTTCGAGCCACCATCTTGATTTTTTGCATTGAAAAACAACTCATAATTTCCGACCCTAAAAAGCATCACTTATCAATTTTGAATCAAATCGAACCACAATTGCAAATCTTGTCCGCCATTGTGAAGCCGCCATCTTGTTTTTTTTCCCCTAGAAAAACTCCATAATGCATTGTCACCGAATTTATGTCAAATTAGCTTGCGAATGAAGTATCATGATTTGGAACACGGAAAGAAGGTGTCAAAATCGAAAAGTGGGTAGCTAAAATTGAGATGGCTGAATTCCTTATAAAATCACCTTTTCAACGATGTGTCACACTTACTACTTTCCCTATTCAAATTGTTTGAGTGATAGTCACTGAGGGGTGGGGGAAGAGGTATGACAGTTGAGGTTATGATAGGAAGATGTCCCCCTTGGATTAAAAATATACGTGTTTTTGCATTTTTTCAGAACATATGTTTTTTGAAGATATTCGATCTGTTTCGTTTTCGGTGCCCCACCCTGTATAAAAAATTGAGCTGAACCTATGCCCCGTTTAATTTTCTCAAATCTATACAAAAGTTTAGCAAACTACAAACACGTATTTCTAGCTACTGGCACCGTCAGTACAGTGCAACCTAGAGCTCAATCAAGCAGATTTACCTACAGCAACCTGCCGCCATATATAACTTCAGTCAGAATACCCCGTGCCCACAAAGCGACAATCAACTTATCCACGAAAGCAACCATAGCCACCTACATGACACCCGAGTTCTGGAATTGAAACAAGGATAAAAATTCACCAAGTAATATGTACAAGAGAAGAGGCAAGTCATCACCAGTCAGATAAGTTTGACAAACTTCAGATACGTGTTTCTGTCTATTGGCAGTCAGTACAGTGCAGCCAATTTGGTAAGATGGACAACTGGTGGTTTTTAAAATAAAGCGTATTCACTTACAGCAGCTAACCGTCATAGAAGGCTTCAGTCGGAATACCACGTGCCCCCAAGGCGACGCCCAACATATTCATGAAAGCAGCCGCAGCGTCCTTCGAGTTCTGGAACTAATGTATACGACTGAAAAGAAAACTCACGAAGTATCATGACTGAAGACAATAAATTCCGAGCTGGTAGGCCGTGGTCGAATAGAAATTGAAGTATCATAAGTTTCGTCTATTACTGCGGTAGACATAATTTGTATATGTGTGTTGACTGCGAAAACGAAGGTTATATTCCGAAGTCTCAATCGTTTCTGAGAAATTATTTCATAAAAAAGAAAAGATGAATTGATAAATAGTGATTCGATCATCCACAATTTGTTTTCAACTTAGGAGCCACCGTTACTGATGATGTCCAAAAGGCTGAAAACAGCTGTCTACCGACAGCTTTTGAGTTGAAATTCAATTGTAGATAACTGGAATAGTTCTCATCTATTTATTTTTTCATTTTCATGGAATTGTTTTCCAGCACCTTAACCGCATTAACCTTTCATGACTTTATATCGTTTATAGAAAAATGTGTATTGGTTTCACGATGCCATTCTGGAAGAGCTTCCAGAATTTCTGCTAACACAATTGTCGGATTTAAAGATTGGTCAAATCAAGACCGACTCAAAAATTTGGCGAGCAAACTAGGGTGTGACACCAATAGGTGGTTCCACTTGAGACTTGATTTCGTCGACGCTGCTAGTTTGTCTCAACGGAGGACTCCCTGCACGGTACTGATGATGTCCAACAGGCTGAAACAGATACCGGTAAAATTAGTATGAGCCATTTTTTTCAATTTACAATTTTTCGTTCTTTGATATTTTTGGAGTTCTAAACCTTCCACAATCTGAAAATAAAAAAAGAACAATAGAGAATCTTCCTAAGTGTGACGAAGCACAAAATAAAAAGTTCACTCTAAAAAGTTGCTACCCTATGTAATAATAATAATAATCGTCTTTATTGTTTCCCAGCTGTAGTTACATACAAATATTTGGATAAATTACAGAGCTAGTTGCTAATATAACAAAAGGCGAAGTTCAACTCAGTTGGCACAAGTGCTACTGAGTTGTTCTTCCACTCAACCACTTATAAACTTATAAGAAGCCGAATCAGTCAGTGATCTGTATTTATAAGTTCTACCTATGAATAAACCGAATAATTGAAAAAAATAAAATTACTCAGCTTTGTCAAAAAAATCTAACATTTTCGATAGAGGCGTATTCTAAAGTAATTTTGCAGGTTTTGAAAATTTTTTTTCGTTTTGAAAGCTTTTTTGCAAATTTTTAAAAAGAAAATGACTTTTTTCGAAACTTCTGCCGTTTTGAAAAAGCTAAGTAGGTATCAAAAAATTCTTTGCAGTTCCTTTTCACTTTCAAAATATTTGATTACGACAAGTTACTCACTGACTGAACTCTACAGAGATTTATATTACACTATATAAGTTTTAAGGGTGAATTTTTCAGTCAGCCCCATATTACACTTGTGCAGATTCACTGGTGATATTTATTCATTCGGATTGTGGATGGAAAACTAAAAAACATCAAAGGTTTCATTACGTTATGTAAATCAATCCGACAAACAATTGATTGACAACTCAAATTATAGAATAATGGATGCCATGCAAAAGATAGGAGAAAAACACAATAAGCCCATGAGATTGCAATATTTTCCGGAGTCTTCGGAGAAGTCTTAAGTAGAAATAAGAACAGTAATCCTGAGTTTCAATTCAAAAATCATTTTCAGATATATTCTATATATTGAGTAATAGACAATTTCTGAATTATTAGTTGAAATTAGAGTACGGGGATCATAAATTAAGTAATACTTCAACACAACTATTGCTTTCTAAGTTATTGAATTTACTATTCTTTTTGAGGGAGATGCAAGAACACGTCTTTGAAACGGCCATTTACGTTGAATTGGAATCTTAAGGATGTATAGATTATATTCATGCAAAAAACGGTAGGAAGCGTTCATTCCACAAAGACGATATTTCATTGAAAAAACAGTTTGGATAAGTCTAGTTCGAGGCGTATTGAATTCAGTATCCAATCAATCGGCAGCTATAGTTTGCCATGTATTTGAAACATATATCACGTTTGGTGGTTGCATGTCGCTACCTCACTCCAATGTTCTGGATTATCAGGGTGGCTTTCGACGTTTTGATTTTCAATCAAGCATCCGCTGTTTTCAATCAGAGCATGAAGCAGTGAAGTTGCAGACAGTTTACAATTTTCTATTTAAAAATATTGTTTATGAAGAGCTGTTTCAGCTATTCAAGCAAAGTGATCATGGAAGACATATTGGCATTCAAATTTAGCCCCCGAATCTACCGAAAACATTTTTCCCTCACCAGAACAAAAATGTTGTTTCTCAAAGAGCGTTTCTCTAACCAAGTGAGCATCATTAGGAGATTGTTGAGACTATTCTTCTAACGACGATGCTGTTTTACGTATATATCTGTTTTACGTATATATCTAGACAAATCATTACCTTACCTAATGAGGGGCATTGAATTATTTCCTATCAGCTAATGTTACTTGCTAGTTGTCTGATATCTAATCTTCACCTGTTTTCTACCTATGATTACTCATTTCGTAAATTTCAAACTTTTCCTTGTCCATCGTTATGTCAATCGCGTTGTCCAACACTTGTTGAAGTGTATGACCTGTTTTAACATTTTGTTTTATAAGAGAGAGGACATTGTTAGATCAAGATCTTCAGATGATGTGGTGCTGCAGGTTTTTCCGGGTTTTCCTGCAGCTGAAAAAGCAAATGCGCCACTGGAATCAATGAAGTCGCCCCGGAGCGCCAATTAATTTTTATTGTTGTTTTTATTTTATTTTTATCGTTGTTTTAATAAACATTTTTATATTTATCAAAAATTTCTTCTTTTTAAAAAATCCAGACACTCTCTGAATTATCTCTTCCTATATCTTTAATGTGAGTATTTCTTATGACTAATCCACTGAAACTACTTGGGAACGGAATAAAAAATAATAAGATGTGGAGTACAAAAAACCATCAACAACAAAAAATTGAATACATCCCGATTTCCAAAGCAAATCGAAAGCATAATGAAAACCTCTTTGCCGCCAGTAACAGGGGAAAGCCTTCGTATGATATTTGAAAGGAAATACACACATAACAGAAATTCATTCCAGCTCAAGCTTTTGATGTCGGTGATGCGTTCATACGTTTTTGGCTTTTTAACAAACTCACAAACTCATCTCCTGAAAACCCTTCCTCCCAAACGTTTAATCTCTTTCTCTTACTGTCGTTCTATCCGGCCTTCAAAGGGAATGTACAAATAACACAAAACATAACAACTGTCGTTTACCATCTAAAATCTTCGATGTTCCTATGTTGCACTTTTCCCGGGAATTACCAATTGTGTCGTAGGGTGGAACAAAATCGTGACAATGAATACATGATATATAATTCATTGTTCATATCTAAATAATTCTGACAATAAAATAATATTCAGTGAAAGAAATCGGTATGATCAAGAGTTTGTGGGTGTCAAATGAATTCACAGTTTTATTCATTTATATATATATAGCTCTAGGGATGTAAACGAAGTGAATCCAAAAGTATCCTCATCTAAACGAAAAATTGTGAATGAACTATAATATGAAAACATTACACAAATAACATAAATGAAAAAGGGAATTAGCGATATACAAAAACCGATAACTGAATATTAATGAGATTCGATTTCATATAGACATCTAAGTAAAGGGAACCGCAGCTTTTCGATATCAATGCATCTACTATTGAATGATCTGACAATCCTGAGTACAGCGCGTTCCAACAAAAACTTTACCCCCCCTGTAATCAGAAACGGTTTTTCAAAGAGCACGTCAATTTTTATTTCTATGTATTTCTAGGGGTTTTAATTCTGATATGGAAATTATACCCGAAACTTCACCCTCCTGGGTTCAAAAACTACCCCCATATTTTTTCAAAGCCATGGGGGGTCTAGTGATGCATCATTCTGAAGGTATTTCATCCCTTCATTGCTTCTGTGATGTTTTTCGAAATAGTTCATTCGTTATTGAGAAATTAAATGTTGAACATTTAATTTAAGAAAAAACAGAAAATTCGCTGTCGCTCATTTGATTGAGGAAATCAACAAAAGTAATATCGATAACAACACAATCAACGGATAAAGTGTTGAAAATGACCTCTATCTAGTTCAATACAATACAGAAATCGGCATTCCCGAATAATTCACTGTCGCAGGTCTTCTAGATTTGTAGAATTTATTTAATTAGTAGTAAACATTTTGAAATGGATAACACTGTTAGTTTTTTCTGCACTGTTTTTTTCTGCACTGATAGTTTTTGTTGAATCTAGTTGTCGCAGAATAAAACGTAGATAGTTGGTCAATGTCACTTCATCACGAATTATTATTCAGTCATCCTTGTTCACTGTGTTCCAACATCGTTTATTCTAGTGAAGAAATAATAGAAATTGTTGCAACCTATTATCGAAATAATGAATGTGCTAAAGCTGCTGCAAGAATTTATAATACGAATCATCCAGACCACAACGTGAGCCATCAATACGTTAAAGAGAAGACCTGCGACAGAGAATTGTTAGGGAATGCCGATTTCTGACTCCGGACATCTTCAATAATGTAAGGGACGCTATCAAAAGTAGACTGTATTATTGTATGGAACAAGATGGAAATTATTTGAATAATTCATTCGTTGATTGTGTTGTCATTGTTGATTTCCTCAATAAAATAAGCGACAGCGAATTTTCTGCTTTTTCTTAAACATTTAATTTCTCAATAACGAATGTAACAATTTCGAAAAAAATTGCAGAATTGATAGAGAGACAAAAGACCTTTCGAATTATGTATCACTCGACCCCACCATGCCATTGAAAAAATAGGGGGGTAGTTGCTGACCGCAGGGGGGTGAAGTTTCGGGTATGATTACCATATCAGAATTAGTCCCCCTAGAAATGAAAATTGACGTGTTCTTTGACATTTTTGATTACACGTCCGTTTCTGACTTACAGGGGGGTTAAGTTTTCGTTGGAACGCCCTGTATAAGGGATTGACCGCAAGTCTCTTCTGAACTGTTGATAATAGTGCACGTGGATATCCTGGAAAAGTGTAAACACAATTCAAGTGGGGGTAAATTTGTCAAAAGTCTTGTACGGCTTTCAAAATATCCTATACTGATCCACACCGTACAAAAAATGGGTCAGGAAAATAATGAATATTTTGATATTTTCCTGTAAGGCTTTCATTGAATTCGTTCTTCATATTAACAAGGGCCATCAATTGGGTCATGCTGTATAAAGTAGTTGAAGCGTAAGATCAACCGGCCATCCTAGAGTTAGGGTTGAAGGTCGTTTAGTCTTTCACGGCATCGTTCTCACTTCTGAAATAATCGAATAATAACAGCCATTTAATATTCATGGGTTACTTTGATTACTATTAATAATGAGCTCAAAAAAAGGATAAAATAAATACATTTTTGTGAGATACGGTTATTATTAGAAACTTCACGGGAATTTAAGTTTTAAATTATCAAGAATTACTTTTTCACTTAGTTGCCTACAGAAATATTGATTATCATTGAAATTATGAATTCTCAAACAAACTTCAAAATGCACCCCGGTTTATTCTAATAAATGTCCGAAATGTTTTCACCTTCTGTTGACAAATTCATTTTCCACATGATTGTGTTAATTTCGTTGCAAGCACCTCTGATTCCATTCATTCATTCATTTA